CGTTCCAACCTCCCCTGCCGCCGCCTCGCTGATTCCGGCCACCACCTCTACCGCCGGAGTTGTTAAATCGAGAATTAGAGGGGTGATTTTGGTGCTCTGTGGCGAGAATGATTGGTGAAGATGCATTGTCTTGATGTGAGGCTTGTACCTAACGGGAGTGATCTTTTGCCATGGACCGTTCTTCAAGGGTTAACATGGAGCGCATCTCAAGGAAGGTGGGAAACGGCTTTTGATATCGAATGGTGGTGACGACATGGGCGAATTTCTGAGATAAACCATTGATGGCATAAAATGAAGAGGTTTCTTTCGGGTACCGGGGATCCAATATTAGCAAGAAGATCAGAGATGGACTTGATACGTGTATAATATTCCATAATTGTAGAATCACCAATGGTGATAGAACGAAGTTCATCATCTAATTACATGGCTTTCGTCTCTTTATTCTCGTGAAACAGGTCTTCAATGGTCTTCCAAACGTCTGCTGCAGTAGCGTTGCGTTTGAGAATAGATTGGAGAACGGATTGAGTAAGTGTTCCATATAACCATTGTTTTACAATATTGTCCACAGTTTCCCATTCTGGATCATCTTCAATTTTAGCAGACCCATCAAGATGACCATATACTTTGTATCCAATGTAGTGAGTTTTAAAAAGCTCTTTCCAGGAATCATAATTCAAGCGGTCGAGATCGATAAGAAGGGGGACATAAGACTCGATATTGGTTATCCCGTAGATTTTATCGTTGGGACTAGGTTTGGAATTAGAAGAATCTCCAGTCATTATAACGAAGGAGAAGGGAGAAGATGTGAAGAGAGTGGGATGAGAAGAAGATGAAGAACAGAGGTGAAAGGGGAGAAGAATACGACCACATGTATGGATCGGCTAGGGTTAGAGGATGGAATAGCCTAATACCATGTTATAGTGAATATTTTCCCATGAATTGGCATTGTGCCTCTTACGTATATTAATACCACAATAATACAAAAAGGGCTACAAATAAGAGTAATGAGCTAAATACAATATTGGGCTGCCCATCTAAATAAAAACTAAATATAAAACATATACATACAGATATATATCTAACAATCCAATTTGATCCATCTGAATTGCAACATGCCAACAGCCACGCATCAATTTGGTTCACTTGAAATGATAACCGACCAAAATAGCTATTGTTGCTTTAACATTAAGTTTTAACCATTTCTTTTTATAAGAAAAAACTCGTGAACTAGGATTTTAGTTATAGTTGCGTTGTAGTTTTGTAATCAACGAGTGGGGTCAACTTGGGGGATTCTCAAAGATTGGGGCTATGTTTGGCATGTTACTTGAAGCTATATTTCCGAACAACTTAAAAAGTAGCTAGTATTGATAAGTTAATAGATAAAAATAGTGTTTAACTAGTGGGTGAGTCCGTAGTGAACCACGGGTCATACTTGTGGTTGTTCTTGCACGCTTATTGAATATGGTATTACTGAGATGTGTCTGGTTTTAT